GTTACTTGCTTCTAGATGAGTGTTAATCATGTGAGAAGAGGTTGACATGAAGAGATGCTTTGATTTATTCTGGAGTTTCGGCTGAAGAGGTTATCCTGTCTCGTCTGTTCATCTTCCTTTTGTCTTTTCGTTGCTGTCTTTCTTATCCTTTCTTCCTCCTTTCTCCACCTAACAATAGTGTTTTGACAACTCACTCATGTCCTATACGAAGGGAGATGAATGGACAATTCAGATACCATGTAGCATGCAGTCCAGCCATGTATGGGCAAATTAATGTCCATGCATGGGAGAGGGTTAAAGAATGGTCTTGAAGATGAACAATCAAAGCATTCTTCAAATTATTTAGCCAACAAATTAATTAGAGATTTGGGTATTTCATTGAAAGGATGGGTGAGAATCTGAGGAAAATTATGGAGTGCAAACTTTTTTTATTGGGCTAAATTGATTTGTCAATCAAATTAGAAATATAGATAAAAAAATTTTGGATGAAAATGAAGGAAAGATAACAATAATGCTATAGAAGCCTTCTCACAATAAAGTTATAGATGAAAAAATGAAAATTATGGCATCAACCCACTAGTCATCGTATATATTTTAGTAATTAATTATAAAATTATTGATATTTTTTTATATTATATATCTTGGTGTTATTAAACCTGATTAATTATGGTATTTTGATTAAGGATATACCTTAAATTGAATTTAAAAATAAAAATAATTAGATAAGAATTAACTCGATCAAAATTTATTTTGATTTAAAAAAGAATTCAAAATAAGTGATCCTAATAACTATAAAATTTATTTTAATTTATAAAAAATTCAAAAAATTTACCTAAATAATGAACGATATCATAAGTCTAGCCGAATTTAATAACTTTGAATCTCATAGTACCAATGCATGTGAAGCAAGGCAGTTTAATTTCAAGGAAAAGCTTTGTGGATATCTATAAGCTCAAACAAAGTTGTGCATATCGATCGCATATATTATGGACTCCATGTGGCAGCAATGTTTTCTTGTGAATGAATGATCACATTCTATGAGTTTGTCTGCTCAACCATGGTTCTTTAGTCGACATCATGTTTTGACAGCTCCTATCCTATCCCAAAATATATACCATTATGCATCCTTTTTCGTGGAAAATATTGAAGGTGAGCTTTTGGACTCCAAAGTCCTACCTTGTAGCAAGTGGCTACAATATCCTTCCATACTTCAAAAGATCTTCAATTTCTAATCATTCATCAGCGTCATACTACTATGCAAATGCATAACTTAAGTGCTGGTTATTGTTTTTACAGTTGAAATTACTACCACGCTACTGAACACTATCTCAGTAGTCGGATTCTCTTTGAATATATTAGTCTTGCCGTAAATTAATGCTTAATACCTTTAATCGTGGACGTTTCGTCGGAAATGGGTTTGAAAAATCTGTGATTAATTATCATATTTGACTGAAAAGATTAAGAAAAACTGTTTTTCTTTAGAAATCTTATTTCTAAAAAGAAAATATTCAGATTTTAATGAAACGTGTCATCTGTGAATGATCTTCCTTTATCGTGGCCACTTGTTCCAAGTTTATTTTACACCTGTAATTAATGCTTTTCAGCTATACTTGGGAGCTGCCTAATTCTTGAGGTGGGGGCACTCATTAGCACTGGAGAAGAGATTAGCATTGACCCAAAGGGCACGAAGCATGCAGCTCTCTTTTCAATCGCTTCGTGTTCCACAATGCGATAATTTTTATGGATACAGTTCTAACTTCAAGTTTTTTCTGCAGTTTTGAGGTAAAAAAGTATTTTGAGTGAGCCACACCACGTTATAATATCATTGCGAATCTTGACCAAGTAAGGTTGATAGCTTGATTATAAATAGTGGCAGATCTTCCTCATGGAGGCTCTTCTCCTCTTATCTCCCTTCTCTTTCTCTTCTCTCTAGATTTCAGCCGAACACTTGTCAAACCCTAAAAGAAAATTATTTGGAAGAGTGTAACCCTATCAAGCAAAGAGATCCACAACTTTTTACCCTCTTGGTTGAATTTAGGTTAACGTCTTCTAGTGTGCATAGCAAATAGTATGATTAGCTTCTTCAATCTTGTTACACTGTTAATTAATTTGAATATTGCTTGGAATATTGAGTTCAGATTCTTGAATAAGCAAGTGTCAAACATCATGTTTTAAAACCTATGCAAGAGACCAAGCTTCAAAGCCTGTCGAAAAAGCAGGCTCTTGGACCCTACAAATTCAGTCTATCCTTCCACAAACAAATAGCTTACTTAATGTTGGGTTATTGTTTTAGAATTAAAAATATATGATTTTTTTTTTGTGATGAAAGAATAAATTCTTTCTAAAACTATTTTAAAGATGTATTTATTTTTATTTTTATGTTTTGTTAATTTCTATTTATACAACATGGTTTTTTATTGTTTTTGTTTTGAATGGTCACAAGTGTTTTTGTATTTTTTTTTAAGAGTATTTAGATGTGTGGTATATAACGGTTGTTTTTTAAAATATTTTTTAAATATATTAAAATAATAATTTTTTATTTTTAAAAAATTATTTTTTACATCAATATATCAAACTAATATAAAAACACCAAAGCAAAATTAATTTGGAGAAAAGAAAAAGTAAAATAAAATTTATTTATTTTTTAAAATATTTTTAAAACATAAAATTAAACATGCTAATACTTCACTGTGCATAAACTACACCTGTGGTTTCCTATTTTATTAATGGATAATCATCTTAACTTGATGTTCTACTTCTTCTACATTAATTTGACTCGTTGGCTGTCTTATAGCATTTATTGATGAAGTTGATTTTCTTGGTTTCTTTGTTCTTGATGTAGATGGGTTTGAAGCATGTAGTTCATTTGTAACAACATCTAAGGTATCATTTAGATGATTAAACTAAATTAATTAATAATTTTACATATCAAACATTTAAAATATATGTATATATTTATGCATAAACTATACTATTTTAAAACATAATTGAACTTGGATTAACCTCTCTAACTCAGCTCGATATATATTAATACATAAGCTATACTGTTTTAAAACCCAACTTGGCGTAATGGGCTGAGGTGTACTGTGAGGAGTGCTGCTGGGTAGTTTGGTAGTTTCCGTTCATTGGCATCAGCTCAAGATTCTGGGACTGCAGCCTGCTGCACACCTCCATACGTTCCTAAGAATTTTTTTTAGCGGTGTTAACAGCTTCTGCTTGCTATGGATTTGAAGATCAAGGGGTGATGATTGCAGCAGCAAGCGGGGCAATTTATAACAATGGGGCAGCTTGTGGGCAAATATTACCATGTAACTTGTGTTAACGGGACAAATGAGAGCGCCACATTCCCTGAAGATTTTTTTTCCTTCCAGGCATCAAGTTTTGGAGCACATGAAGAGATCAAAAATTGTTATCAGAAAGCAACTGGATGTAGCAGTGAAGAACCTGAAAGTAAAGGAAATTGATGAGGCAAAAGAATCCTTCTTGAAGTTAATGGAGAAAATTACCTTAATTTTTTTCACTCCAAGCCTTCCATACAGCTGGTACTCTTCCAAGCTTTAACTGTGCTTGGAACTGTACCCAAAACAGTAACTCCTGAGTCCTGAAAAGAATGATAAGGCAATGGTTGGCTAGGGCATGAAAAAGTTTCTGCTGCAAATGAATTAGGTAGTGCTGTCTGATATTCAATGCTTTTATCCAAAGCTGGTATTTTAACAACGTAGTGTGTGTTATATTGCCATAATTTTTGTGGTTGTGGTTTAAAAAATACTGTAAATTATTGCTTTTCTCGAAGGTAAGTTGAGCAATAAAAATCAAACAAAACCACATCCACACCGCACCACAAAAACAAACGGAGCATAGTTTGGCCTGTCACAGAATGAATCCTGTCACAATTTGCATCCATGGATTGAATATTACACAAGGTGTGAAAGTTGTTATTGGCATGGTCAAATGCCAGTCCCATGACCTGGTTGGGCGGATCAACCTAAGAGTCATCAAATTAAGTTAAAGAGTTTTTTTTAAAAAAATTTTTTTATCTGAAATAACATCTTTTTGGACAGTTTTTTTTAAAAGAAAAAACCTAAAACAATGTCGATTTGACAAAAAAAAAATTGACTGGTTTTATCAAGGTTTAAGACACTAGATATATAATGAATTGACCTGTCGGATTGATAAATTGTTTTGAAAAAAAAGAATTGACAGGTTTCACCGGGGTTTACCTCACCAGGTAATGGATTGACCTATCATATTGACTAGGTTTCCTGACTCAATTGCAAGACTGGTCTGATTTGAAACATGACTTGATCTAAGACTCGGGCTGGATCTAAATCAGTTCGTCAAGTCATGTTCTAAGAATTGGTTATTGGAGATAAACCATCTATTACAGATACTGTAGTGCAAACATTCCCTTGATAGGTGATTGACTCCAGATAAAAAATCTATCCATGTGTGATCTCCAATTTCTTAATTGAGGCCCTCCATCATCTCCAGTCACAGGGATCACAATTGCCTTGCTAGGATTAGCTTCTATTCTACAACGCGACTGCAAAAGAGAAGTGTGGTTCCTCCTTAATTTAATCTTAAAACAAGCATGAACATCCATATTAGAGCATTAATGATAAGTTTCTTTCTCCAAATTTTCCTTCGGATTCAAAATGATGACATGTGAGCAAACCCACTTCCTGCTGATGTCTCAAGTTAACTGGAGGTCGAGTTTCCATGACATTGGCAAGCCAGCTTATGAATCCTAGCATAGACAGATGGCATTCCATTCCCAAAAGGCTTTTAGCCATCTGTTTCAAGAATGGCGCCAACATGAAGAGACCGTCTCTCTAAAACTTGTAACAGGATGAAAGTCTAAATAATCCCATTGTGCAGAAAAATGAAGGGTCTAGTTGCTTGAATGTTGCACATTCTTCAGAACCCTAGAGCACATGCAGCAGCATAAAGGGCAGAGGTGAGGGGGGAGTAAAGGGAGGGGAAGCTGGGGAAGGAAACTAGAAAACAAACAAGATGACTTGAACTGAAACAAAATTAATGGAACCAAATGATTTAACACATGAACATTCCTATATATTCTTTAATCGGTGTACATCACGCATCTTAATAATTTTCGATGAGGTAATCATCTTCAGCACTAGTCAAATCACCTAACAAGATGCAAAACTGAATGTACCTTTGGGTCAAAGCAAGACTAGAAGTAGAAACATAGATGATATTACAAATTGAATTCTCAAAACTTGCAGGTTTGTAGTCCCGCTCCCTCCTTGGGGAGACACAGGTCCAGGTGCTACAGATGGTGTGAATCCTCCAGTTGAGCTCGGAGTGGTAGTTGAACTGTTTCAAGATATTCACAACTTTAGAAGACACCAAAATCAAGTGAATTGCTAAAAGAGATTTTAGAGCAGAATGGATTAACTACAAGCAGATTAGATTCTTACCTCCCAGTAAATTTACAGGATCCATAACCTGCAAGAACAAACCATATAAGAATGATTATGGAACAAAAGCAATAAAAATTCTCGATCTACAACAGCAATGTCTTTCATCACTTTCCTCCCTTCTTGATGGGAAAATCAGACAAAGGACAAGGTGCAAAGTGAAAGCAATGTGAAAAGCCTCTTTGGCGGGACCAAAATCTGGTTTTATCAGGAACAGAACTCACCACTAATTATTGGCATTTTCAGAGACTATTAGCTTGGACTTCCTTGCTTCATGAGTTCATTTCCAGCTATTTATGGTGTTTCAATTAACATGATTCTCAGAACATGTACTGAGTGAATACAAGGCATAGCCATCGACATCATGTAAAGTAGCATTTAATGCATAAACCCTATCTTTCATCAAAAAAGCACATGGTAAAATCCCACTATGCTTCTATCTTCCAAGACTTGAGATGCGACTGCTCTAGAACCATTGATTTAAATATGCCAAAACAATCAATTAGCATGAGCTAAATGAAATTCCCTGTCGTGGAAAACCCAGCAGTTCCTAGCATGGAACTAGCAGACCAGAAAAATAAGATTAAAAAAATAATGAGAAAAGGATAGATGGACTTACTGGGATTAGCTGTGGTTGTTGTAGCAGTACCATCAAAATCACATGTTGCACCAGCCAGATGCATTTTTTGATAATAATCATTGTAAGCATAAGATGCATGGTTCTGGTAAGTATTAGGAAGATAGCATGGTTGCCCTTCTTGAATAGCACTGCAGTTGGCCCCTCCCTGCCCACAAGCCCAGTTCAGTCCTACTTGCAACTTACCGGGATCCGCATTTGGTTTGGCAACACAGAAATCAGAACTATTTCCAGTAATTCGATTGGAAGTACTCAAACTAAAAGTATAAACAGAGCTGCCATTGGTGAAAAACAAGCCCCAGTTTTTCTCAGACACAGGCCCAGGCCTCTTGTCTTCATTGAACATCTCATAAATGTATGTATTGATGGGAAATTTTGGCTGACTAGGTGGTCCTGAATCATTTTGAACTCGCTGAATCATATTATTATTGAAGGTCTCGGCATTATCTGCAGTGGCATCAGGTTCATTGGCTCCGCCAAGCCAAGGCCACCCAGTTTCTGTAACTACAATTGGGATTCCAGACATATTCAGAGCATCTATAGAATAATAGGTAGCATCCACCATGGCGTCAAACATGCTGTCATAGTGAGAAAGAGTGTTGGGGTCAACAATCTGTTTCACTGGAGGAAGTGATCGGAAAAGAGCATAATCAAGAGGGAAAATGCCATTTCCAGATGTGTATCCAAAATATGGATATGCATTTAACATGTAATATGAGTTAGTGTTTTTCAAGAACTGAAGAATCTGATAAATTGTAGAGTTCCATGATGAATTAAAGGTGGCAGTTGAGGGCGGGAAAGGCTTGGGGATTACGTCCATGGCTTGAGGGGTTGAAACTTTGACTTGAAAATTTAGATTTGAAGCAACAAGGGCTTTGTGGAGGTAGTTCATGGCAGGAACCAAAACAGGGACAACATTAGGGATTGTGGTAAGAACCTCACTGCCAACTGCAATGGCTGTAATGTTGGTTGAAGGCAAGTAAGCTGCAACATTTTGATTAATCCATGCTGCTGCTTTTGATGCAGATTCCCCAATTCCTAAGATTTCCTCATTTGTAACACCAACCATCACTTCTATCCCACTGTCTGCAAGGGCTTTCAACATGTGGGCATCAGCATCATAGAGGCGTACATGAGTAATCTGATTGGCTTTCAGCATGGCAACCACATCTGGAGCCGACGGCATGTTTGAAACATCGGTTCCAATATTTATTCCTACAAATGCACCTGCAAATTCAAGATTGTGATTTCAGCAACAAACGGTGAGTTGGGCAATCCTATTCTAGAAACATGAATTATCTCACCCACATTTTCTTTTTGAAAATGAAAATTTTCAGGTCCTCGCGAGCATTGCTCAAGTTCAAGATGATGAAAAAATAGATAAATCCTTTAAGGGCACAACATGTTTGAAAAGCTCTGAGTGCACTTTTGCACTTTTATTGCTCGTATAATACGTAAACCACAAGCCCTAAGGACTATCAAGTGAAATAGCACATATTATGATAAAATCTTCCAAGAAGCTAAATAACACTACATGGTTTTCACATTTTAATTCCTACAAGTCCGAGGCCTCATGGTAAGGGCTCAACATTTCTAAAGCAGATTGAGCTCCTTATCTAATCCTGACTTTGCCCTTTATAAGGACAGTAGCAAAAGATCCAGAACAAGTTTACCAAGTTACCTGATGCATAGTGGAGAGTGGTAAAAATAAGCAAAAGAAGTCCTCCAGGCACCATCCGATCCAAGAAACTTCAATACAAATTATACTCTTGTCTTTTATCTCTTAGCCTTAAACTGCCAAAAGGTTCAGCAAACACATGCAAAATGTTATAAGAAACCAATGGCCAGAAAGCACGGTTTAGCTGAAGCTGGCAATACAAGGAAAGAAACTCCGAAATTCCAAACACGGAGATACCCAGAAATCGTAAATCAATTGCCTCCAGGACTAGATAACATGTCAGGTATATAACAAGCAAACCAGCTCACCTAAAAAGTTTGAAAGAACAAAGAAGCACAGCAAAATAGGTTGCACAGGCAAATACGAAAATCAAAACTGTTTATGTGCAAAGGGGAAGGGAGGTGGTAAATAAAACCCATACAGAAATGATTACTTGGAATTCATGTCCATATATTCATATAGATCAGAAAATTATTGAGTTCTCACCATCTGAGAATGTACCTACCTTCTCTGCCCATTCAAAAGACCCTACAATCAAATTCATAGCAACTCCTCTTAAGCAGAGAAAAATTGATACTTCACCAGATGCCTAAAACTCCAATTAAAGTTCATTTCAAACCAAGAAAATCACAACTATATGTTACCTACCAAGTAACAATTGCCATTTCGTTCTCCAAATGAAAAACAATAGCCAAACATGTTGGACTTCTGAAATTCACAAATTGAAACATCAAAGAAATGTCATGTGCACAGCAATTCAGATTGCTTTCTTCAATTCTCAGCCAAGAGAAAAGGCATAGAACCAGGTGGACAAATCTACTAAAATTAGAGCTGGGCTAAAAAATTTACAAACAAGATAAAAAAAAAAAAAGACAACAGCAATATAAACAGATAAAACCACAGGTAAGCAAAGAGATGCGAGGCCATCCTCATAGGTCCAGTTTTATAAGGAAAATAGCTTCCCATTTCATAAGGAAAACAGCTTCTCATTTCACACAAATTCAAGGCCGGCCATAGCCTAAGAACTTTTCAGACCTTGATTTTTTCCACATGAGAAAATAAGAGGACAATCATTTCGACAATCAAATTCGAAGCACAAGATGCAAGTAAACAAGAAGAAATGACCCTAACTTTAATATGTGAGATTTCACAATGCAGCAAATCTCAAGCAACCAAACGCATACTAAGTGAGGATTTAGTACAAACTTACCACCAGAGTGCAAGAGAGACATTAAAAACCCATACCCACACTAGCTCTTTCAAGGGAATAAGGGAGAGAGACAAACTTTGGACATAAATTTCAACTTCGAGAATCCAAAAAACTCCACACAACAGCAAACAAAGACCCAGAAATCCTTAAATCTTAAAAATACCCAGATGCCAAAACCCTAACAACAAGCACCCAGATGCCAAAACCTGAAAGAAAACATCATATAGCACAGAACCCAGATACGAAAACCAGGAAAAGAGACCATGAACAGTACCTGATCCAACTGTATCAAGCTGAAACACTCCAAAAAATCAAGCCCTATATGCAACTTTCAGAGAGTTAACAAACCCTTATATAACCCAAAAAACAGCTACAACCAACTCGAAAAACTAAACCTTTTTGAACCTAGTACACAGAATCTGAAAGACAATCTACACGGATATCAAACTAGCCCCACTAAAGTAAAGGCATTATCTTTCTGTGGAAAGAACCAAAAACCAATGAGCCAGAAGAACATCCTTTCAGTCTCTAGAATGAATACTTAACTAAACGTTAACTCTTTCATTAAATACATTAAGTACCCTTTCAAACAGTACCCCCACCATACTAGAAAATGAGTTCAGATTTCATTAGAAGCTTACCAGATATGAAAGAAACTTTATGATGGCAGGCTTTGTTGTCACTAAGCTTGACCGATGTTGGATAGCCAACAAGACCAAAGACAAAAGCCCTGCAAATCTTTGCTGTCCCTTGTTTCGTCTTATTTGCGATTTTTGTTTACTATACAACTTAAAAATATGTTTTTTTTTTTTTTTAATGGGGCAATGCAAATCACATAGATATCATCATTGTTTATTCTCAGCTCAAATGGATGGTGATTATATGTTAATAAGGATTATTAAAGAAAGTGAGACTTTTTTTTTATGTGATTTTTTTCCCTCCAAAAGTCTTTTTTATGAGCTCGGAAGGGATATGAAAAGTCAAAAGGGAAACGGTTTAGGCTGTGAAAACAGGCAGGCTGGTGATAAAAGCAGGGTAAAAGGGATTTAATTCAATTCCAGTGGCCATTAATGAGTATGTTTGTCATAATGACCAAATTCAGAATTTTATTTGAGGACCAAATAGAAAGATAAACCAATTCTGCTTTGAAATTTTTTTAATTGTTTGTATATATTAAAAATAAATTTTAAAAAATAAAAAATATTATTTTAATATATTTTTAAATAAAAATATTTTAAAAAATAATAAATAATTCCTATACCTTTTCAACTGGATTTTTTCAAATGGGTTATCAAGGACTTATTATTTCATGGGTCCCTTGTTGTCACTAATTACATGCTGCTTATAGCATGAGCCATTCACTGGTAATTTCCTCCTGGGCTAATCAAAGCCTGGATCATATATATATATATATATATATATATATAAGCATTAGAAAAAATTGTTTTAGGCTTTTAAAAAAAAAAACAAAAAAGACACTAAAACAACATCATTTTTCCACTAATCTGGTCCAATCCAATTCTCAGCCCAGGCTGAGTTTCAAAGCTATGGTTCCGACTCAATAACTAATGCTAGGGAATGTGGGTAAAAGGAGAAGAGGTTACAAGATGAGAGGATAGGCATGTTGCTTCTTTTGTTAGCTTTGATTAGCAGCGAGAGACAAAAACAGGAACAAAGAACATTTACTTCATTTTTATATTTCAAAACCCAGATGAGAGACATTCCACAGTTTAAGCTCAAAGATGCAAGCTTTACTACCATGATACCTTTTGAACAGGTTTTCAAGGGAACCAAACTTGATTTAGCGTCAATGCAACTCCATAAATCTCGATATAGTCTCAGAGTGGAGCCCTAAGAAGTAAAGCACATGAATTTGACATCAGAATGTTTGATGGCAAATCCGACTAGATATAGACCAGACACTGCACACAAAGAAAATTATATCCCCGCTTAGTTGTAAAGTGGAATGCTGAGGGTACCAAACGTCAAAAGCATCTCCCTTTTTAAACTTTTTGGTCCCGCAGAAACCACACTTTATCCATAAAGACAGGTCCAAGACAGCTGCTCCCCCACTCAAAAAAACAGCTTAGCTGAATCACTGGGACGTTTGCACGGAACAACACATCACAGAGGAATGCCTCTCAACATTCTGCATAATGGGGCAATGAAGCATCTTTTGATACGGGGCTCGAAGAGAAAATAACTAAATTAACAATTTTTCATATGAATTTGACCTAAAACTCTTCCAGGCAACATTAAGTGCAATAACAATCAAAGCATTCTACAAAGTTGAAACCAAAAGCCAACAAAATCTAGATCAAATACCATCTGATAGAACATCACTCACATCAAAAACATAATCCAAAGGACAAGTAGGTGATACAACCATCTGTTTCCATGCAAGGATTATGGACTAGGAGACTTGTCTCCATTTACTTCTTTAGGATATTCATCATGAATTGGGCTACGGCTTCTGCTTCTTCTTGGGCTACGGCTTCGGCTCCTAACTGGGCTCCGGATCTGACCCCTATTTGGAGTTTGGCTGTGGCTCCTTGATCGTGAATATGACCTCTCTTGACTGTACCTCCTCTCTCGGGGTGAAACAGATCTGCTTCAAAGCAAAAGGTCAGACGTGCACATTAAAAGAGGGAGCAATAATTATTAAAAAGTACCAGAACTCTATGCGCCTCAGGGAGCCAATCACAAGACGTGTGAGAAGTAGCAGAAAATATCCTATTTTTACATCAATAGTCCAACATCAAAAGGCCAATTCAGTTTTGGGGCGTTAAGGTTGAATAAGTTTAGTAAATAAGAAACCAGGGAGGAGATATAGAATACAGAACTAAAAAGGAATCCTTGGCAGTGTTTCACAAGCAGTTTGGAACAGCTAATGCATTTGCTTTGGATGCAAAAGGCATACAGGTTCCTCCATAAGAGACAAATATTGGGTTCCTACAGGGAAAAAAACAAGAACCAGAAAGTAATAAATGCAAACCTTGAGTGATGCCTTCTTTTTGGAGGGGAATAATAATCACGACTGTGAGACCGGGATGTTGCATGGCGTGGTGGTGGAGAACGAGAATGGCGTGGTGACCGAGAATAACGAGGAGGTGATCTTCTTCTATCACCAACTCGGCCCCTGTAACAGAATGGAGAAATTTTGAAGATTATCAAACCAGAATACTTTGGAAGACTAATACATATAGTGAACATCATGAAATACAACCCAGAATTTGGACTACGTGAGTTTTAAAACAAATCATGAACACAATCTATAGATTCAAAAATACAAGTCCTGTAAACATCCTTATATCATGTCATGGCATGATTGGCATGTGAAAGACTTCCCCATACTTTCCACAAAATCTGAAATCATCGCAATCTAAAAATGCTTCTGATCTTGTGATTTTGTTTAGGTTCACTTCTGAACAGAATAATTCAAATCATTGAGCCCCAACCCAACTTGAAAGGAAAAACACAACAGGAAAAAAGAGATGAAAAAAAAAACAATGACATTCAGCAACCATCTAAGTTATCTCAACTGAATAGAAAAATAGCTGTTCAATGAAAAGCATTCATGTCACTCAAAATCAACCCTGTCAGGCAAGCAAAGAAACAAAAGATAACACTTACCTAGTGGCTGTGCGCTCCCTTGCTCTCATATCAATTGGCTTCTTCCTATTCTCCTCGGCAAATACAACAGTCAACTCCCGGCCAAGAAAGACACGACCATCCATATGATGTTTTGCCTCTGCAGCATCATGAGGATCTGCATATTGGACAAAACCAAAACCACGGGGTTCCCTGCCAAAAGAAGATGATAATGAAACAGATTGAAGATTAGTACCACCATATCAGCTACAAAAGAAGGAATCAAGCACGAGAACCATAAACCTTTTTGCCAATGAAATTTACCAACCCAATCCCCATTATATGAAGGTCATGATATGAAAAAGCAAGCACACTGCTGACCTTGCAAGTGTCAGTTTAAAGATGACTTGAAACTCTTCAAGACTTGGAACCTCTCCACAATGTATTCAAACCCAACTTCCTTCAAATCTTCACTATCATTAACATCATCTTCAAAAGGACTCTAATTACTTGATTGGTGTCTTCAAAACTTTAATTTCACTGTTAAATCTCAAGAACTTCAATTAATGAACCCAGCCTCGGATTACAGTCGAGTATTATATCATGAACAGATGACCCAAAAGAAATTTGGAGGAATAGGGGGCTTAAAGGGCCTGCTTGATGAAACCAAACAAACTGCTAAACATAATTTGAATTTCCCAAAGATTATAAGAAAGATAACATTAAAAAGTTAAAGAAACTATGTCTCAGGCAAATAAGTTTCTGATGCAGTGTAGGAAGGAAATCAGATGATAGCAGAGAGAACAAATAACATAATGCTGGGGAAATAACCTCATAATATCAGTCCCAACAGTTTCAAAAGGGGATTATTTTGGAAATTGACACCAAACAAGACCATTGACAGCATGAATCCCAATGAATGTCAACACAAGATAGTTAGAAAATGCAAAACCCCACTTGAGTTTTTTTAAAGAAATGCTTTAAAAAAAAAAATCATATCAGCAAACTTTATCTATCAACAGCTAAAAGACATGCTCACCCAGTATAATAGTCTCTAGGCAAGTAGATGTCCTTAAGAGCACCAAACTGTTCAAATGGCCTGCGAAGGTCTTCTGGCCTGCAAATAGCATTTACATAATTGTCATGTGCTGATGAAAAAAGAAACATAAAGTTTATGGTCCCAAAATATTCAGCTATTAATAGGAAGTGGTGCATACTGCATCATGATAAGTTTAGTTTTGGATAGGTTCCCACTCTCAGCAACATGAATGTCACCGTTGCATCGTTAACTTGAGTGGAGTTTCTATCCGCAAGGAGACAGAATAACTCTTTCATCACTCCTGCTGTCTCTTGTGCACACGTTAAACTTTCCTTAAGTGGCAATTAGTGCAATGGTCCACTGGCACAAAGCCGCAAGGCCACGCAGATGAATGCTCGTTGTGTATTAATATGCATCTAAGATCAGCAGTACTCTTTGGGCACTCACTCTCTAGCATTCTAACATGCACGGGCGATTCCTGTGTCTAGCCAGGTCGCGGTTGGACAGGTATAAAAGCATGAAAGCATAGAAGCAACATTTTTTAGATCATCCACTACTTGCAAATCTAATACAAATGTTAAAGAACATAAGTTGTGAAAGGAAAGCAAACCTGCAATCATGACGGAGGTTGCGAACTAGAAGGCTAGTAGGAAGATCCCTACTACGTCCACCATAACGTCCCCGAGGACTAGGACTCCGTCCCCTTCTACTATAGCCCCTTGGAGGTGATGGACTATAACTCCTTCCTCTCATCTCCACAAAATTGTTTGCTCTCTGTCCAATTTAAAATTACCTAAGAAAAACCCCAGCCAGTGTAAGAAACTAATAAATCCTGTGCAGCAACAAAATCCAATTAGTGGCTTCATAAGATAAAGTTATATACTTTAACAAGATAGCTTCCCTGATGCAACAAGTGAAGAGTTCACTGCCTGAGAAAATAACCCATTAACATACTAATAACACGTTAAACCCATCTTCTTCTTTTTTTTTGGCAGTAAAGCCATAAATTAGCTCCTCTCCTCCAAGTTTGGACAGCGTTTACACAAAATATTGCACATAACTAACTCATCAGCCTTAAAATATGGAACAAACCCATTAATCATACCAATAACCTAAGCATGTGATGTAATAAAAATCCCTAACCCCTTATCTCCTTCCTAATAACTCATCAAACCCATTAAATAATTTATCTTTTTTCTTGCATCAGACCCAAAATTCATTCCTCTCCTTCATTAATTTACACATATTTAGAAGAACCCGTTATTTATCTCCTTTTTTAACAAGGACCCATTAACCTAAATAGATCATCAAACCCTAAAAATATCAATTAATTCAACAAAATCAAGAATAGCCCGTTATTTATCTTAATTTTTTAACAAAGACCCATTAACCTAAACAGAGCATTAAACCCTAAAAATATCAATTAATTCAACAAAATCAACATTAACTACTTACATTAACATTCAAGCCATTAAAGAAAAAACACGTAAAACAAAAAAAGCAACAGTCAACAGAGATCAAAACGACAATAAGAATCTAAACTGAATCGTCGCAGAGAACACAAGGAAGGGGAAGAGAGACCTGTTAATCGGAAGGTTAGGGTTCCGCGGGGGGGAGAGTTTGAGAGCAGACGGCGATGTGGCTGCGATAACGGGTACAAAGAGGAAGGGTGCTTAAGGAGGTTGTAGATACTAGATATAGCACACAGCAAGGGTTAAGGATTAACTACGGTTCAGTTAAGGTATTCGATGCCTTTAGATTTGTGGGTCCCATTGGGTCCATTAATCTAGTGGCTGAGTTTTTTATTTTGAAATATGATAGTGATAAAAGCCGGTCTAATGCATGAGTGTGACGTCGCTCTAAAATTGGCGTTGTTAGATCAATTTTAATTAACCTCCACTCATCAGATTAACGTTGATTTAAAATTTATTTTTAGAAAAATTGAAAGGATATTATTAAAAAAAGATAAATTGGATTTTTTTTATTTATTTTTATTGGATTGTAGATTGATTTATTGTTTTTTTTATTGTCTTGAGACAAAAAATAAAAAAATAATAAAGACAGATAATATGATAGAAAATAAAAATAAGATAGAATTATATTTAATAATGATATATAATATAAAATGATTATTTTTGTATGATGTTTGGTTATATATGAAAAAATATAAAAAAATCTATTTTATTTTTAATATGTATTATTATTAAATTTACATATTTAAATAATAATATTTTTTATTTTTTTATTTTAATTTATATCAAGTATTAAAATTAATAATACTATAATAATTATAGTTATAGAATAAAAACTGATTTAACAAGTTGATCCAAAACTTAAATTGATCTGAGTTTATGAAAAAATAAATGAATGATTGACTTAATCTCGTCCCATCAAAAAACCATGTCAACTTAAAATAAAATATGAGTCAAAAACTCATTAATTGTTTTTTAAAAAAAATAAATATTTTGAGTTAGTTGAGTTGACCCTTCTAATTCACAATTTTAACCTTATTTTTAGTCAACTTTTAAATCGAGTTTTAAAACTATAATAACAATTATTTTTATTTATATATTGACTTGAGTCAATTCGTGTTGACCCTTTCAACTTATGATCCTGTCTTTTTTTGGTTGACCTTTAATTTGAGTTTTAAAACTGTGATATAACAACTTTTATCTCTACGTTGATTTAGGTCAAGTAGAGTCGACCCCCTTGATTTGTCATCATGATTTTGTCTTGAGTTAACCTTCTAGTCAATTTTTTAAACTATAATAATAATTATATTCATTCTATACTGAGCTGGGTAAACTTAGGTTGATCTTCCCAACACATAATTTGGATCTTATATTAAATCGACACTCAAGTCGGGTTTTAAAAACTATGATAATAATTACTTTTATTTTTATATTAATTTTAATCAATGATAAGTCTTACTCATTACCCGAGACTTATCCCAGACTAAACTCTAATTGAGTTTTTAAAATATTATAATAATTTTTTTTATTCTTACACTGACCTTGGTCAACCTAACTTGTAACCAATGACCAAGCGTTACTCTGGATCAACCTTTACATTGAATGTTAAAACTATGATAGTAATCATTTTTATTTTTATAAGTTTTAGTTAAATAATCTTAGAATTGAAAGTTTTTTACAATAATATTTTAAAAATAAAAAATAAATTTTGTTTATAAAAACATATTCTTTATATACCTTATATTAAAAGTTCACTTTAAAATATTCATAACAATGTAAATTTGAGACTAAACATAAATGTGTTTTTTAGAATGATTTCTCAATTATTGCTTCACTAATTGCTTAATGAAACCGTTAAATTCTATCCTTTCTCAATTAAATGAACAAAAATTTCAAATGAGAATCTCTAAAAGTTTGAGGGTAAAACTGATAAAAGAGTTGTTTGATGGTAAAACTGAAATTTCTTATATATTTGGAGGGCATGTTTGAAGTTTGCCCGAAAAAACCTCTGCAAGCTTAGAGCAAAACAGAGACCACAAAACAGAGAGACTCTGCCTTCTGTCTCCCGCATACATACACTACACACGATCTCTGCGGAAACAGAGACGTTTGAGCAGGAGTAGGCTGATCATTCCCATCTCCTTAAGCAGATCTTTATGCAGGTTAAAAAACCTTTGCTCCTCCTTTGTTTTTTTCTCCTTAAATTTAGATGATCAAAGAATAATTTTTTTTTTCTTTTAATCTATCCATGCTATTTTAAAATTTTCTGGGTGTAATCTGAACTGGGTCTTGATTTATTTCTGTTCTGGTATATATTTATAGATTAAATGCATGTGTACATGGATGTTCCTGTGTCTTCTCGAGGTTTTAGCTTGCATTTTAGGATAAAATTCTATTTTATGTGTAGAATTTAGAAAACATTGTGTGTGCCCATCAGTTTAAATTGAGATATAGAGCATCTCTGAATTTTGGAATTTAATTTCTTGCACATTCTAATCCTTTTGTTTTGTGTTTCCTGTCATCGAAGCAAGATAATAGGAGTCAATTTTTTGTTAAAGATATCTACTTTAAATTGCTATAGCTTTAGAAGAAAAATTGTAAATATCTTTATGGAGGTTCCGAGGATGGTTTGTACTTGTGTTGATTTGGGGTGGATTATTAAATTGAGTAGAGGTTGATGTGATACTGATTTGTTGTGTAGTACGAATGGAGGAACAGTTTATACTAAGAGTTACACCTTCCATTGCGGAGAAGTTGGATCGACTTTTGAGTGAAACTGCTTCTTCTTCTGAAGAACAATCATTGGATTTGTCTTTTTCTGGTGATAACATCCTTCCCTTGCATTTTATGATGTTCTTGGTTGTTGTTACGTGTATAGTACTTTAGGAATTAGGATCTCCCTTTGTGCAACCCTCTCAATTTTAACTTCATGGTTTAGCAATTTAATTTATTTATTTATCTACCCTGTGACAAGGCTGTATGAACCAAGTCATACTCTATGCTGCTAAAGATTCTAATGAAAATACATTTGGGGTAGATCTCGAGGCGGTTTCTCGAATTTAGTTTGCTGGGATAGATATATTATCTTGATACAGAAAAATGCCTCTTTTATATGGGGAAGCTATATGTCCTTCAAATGTTATTTCTGGACCTGGGGTGTGATCTTACATTTATCTGGTATTAAGTGCAGGACATGTATCAATTTGGTGTCATTTTTTCTTTTCCAACAGGTGCCTTACTGACAGAACAGTTGATACAATTTTGTACATGAGTTAGCTATCCTTTCCATATGTTGGTCACAAAGATACAATTGTTACTGTCTTAGGTTTAATGTTTCCTATAAGAGAATGATATAGTCACCGCTGCCAGAACAACATCGCGTCTATTCTCTGGAGCTCTGAAACAACTTAATTTTTCCCTGCCTTCTTTCCTTATTTTTTCTAATTCAATTTTTTTTTTGATATGCAATTTGATTAAGAACCGAGAACATTAAGTGTAGTATGAAATCATTCTTGTTGTTTTGACTAGAGCCTTAGCATTCTCATGAACATGGAATATCTTGCTTTGCAGAGGATGGAAGGGGTGGCACATTTGTCATTGGAAACGAACGTTTCCCTGCATCTCTCTTGGATCTTCCTTGTGTTGTAGAGTCCTACAAAACATATGACGATTGTGCGCTAGTTAAAACTGCAGACATTGGTCAAGTATAGCTCTTGTTAACACTTTCAGTTTATAATCTCAAAAGACTTTCATTTCTAAGTTGCTGCTATGATGAATTTTTGATTTTGACAGATGATTATGGTTAGAGAAGCAGGTGATACTGCTCCAGATGTGGTGGAGTACAGACATGGGCTCACTCCTCCTATGAGGGATGCTCGAAAGAGAAGATTTCGTAGGGAGCCATACCTCAGTGTACGATTGATCTCAATGCTTGCAAAACTTTGATATTGAATCTAAGAATCAAGAACTTTTTTGGACATTTTGAAGTACTATGAGATCAAATTGTGTGTAGCAATTGTTATTCTTGTCCTTTCAACCTGCTGCCTTTTCTGACTCTGGTGGTTTTACTTTTTACAGCCTGAGCTTGTACAGCGTGTTGAGAAAGATCTTCTGAACATCATGGCTGGGGGCACAGTCGAAAATGCTGATATCCTTAGTATTATGCATATCTTTGATTTTGTTTTCTCAGCTTAAAGAGAAATAGAAGTTCTTCAGCTTCTAGCAAACCATAGGTTTCACTATTCCGGATTAGCTTGCAATCAGGAGTATAAAATTCCTGTCGCTGCACTTATGCATGGTCTTGGCAAAAATTGGTTATATATCCATTGCAAAATCAAGAAGCTTGGGCAAGTGTCCCTTACTAGCATGCAGATTATTAAGGATGGTTTTGGCAGCCGGGCAATTGTCCTCTATTCCAATTTGTGTTGCATTCTATGGGACTGCAATGCCAAGCACACGCCCTATGTAATTTACTGATAACCAAACTTAGCTCATCGGCGACTGCATTAATTGTTGGTACATTGTGTTCCGAAAATTTAATTTGATTATGTTAATTATTAGCAAGGCAGGGCGCACCATTGCTTTAATGCAACATTCCCCATGGAGAATTTGAGGGTGGCTCGTGTTTCAGTGGAGTCCCATCAGTAATACAGTATTCTTTGTTTGAATTGTTGAAGGTGTTCATTTAATAATTCAATTAAATCCTTAACTGAATTTTTACAAGCTGAAGCTAATGAGCAAGAGGAAGACGGTGAACAGAATGCTCGTAAAGCGAATGAGAAACCTGAGCCTGCTCCTGAAGCAAAGCCTGATGTACCAGAAACAACAACTAATGCAGAAGAACCTGAGAGAAGTGATTCAGATGAGTCCGACGATTCGATGTAATGGTATATCTTATAATTTGCCTCCTATGTCGAGAGATGGTGAATGTGATTAATCCAGCCTGTATTTTAATGCTATGTGTGTTTATGGCACGCAATGACTTGCTTAGCCACTTTGACTTTTTTTCACTTGTAAATTGCATGTACTTTTTGTAGTTTCTATTGTTTTTAGTAAAAGACTGAATGAGTACTACTACATGATATTATCAGTATTAAATCCTCCCTATGCTTCCTAGAAGACAGCAGAATGAAAACAGCGAAATCTATGATGAGGTTCAATGATGTGGGCCAGCATTGGGCTTCATGAGAATATACTCCATGGTCTAGGAAGCTGGTGTGACCTAACGCAAACTCCGAAGATTTTGAGGTCTTGCCAATCTGGGCCTGGTTCCACTTTTGTCTGCTTTTGAATTGGACTAGGGTATTAGCAGTTGCACCACAACTGGGTTCAATGGCCACATCCATAGCAGGTGAGATCATCACCCCTGCCAGCAGAAAAGCTTTGTAATCCTCAGGATTGCAACTAGAAAATTTCAGTGAGAAAAACTAAACGGCTAGAAGGCAGCCTCGGATCTGAGATCTATCTAATAATCTTGTTATGACATTTATGAACAAGACACTAACAAGGTCTGCTCAGCCAGCTAACTCTCTTGGCTTGCATGCTGGATAGTCTGGATCTTGAATTCTCAAACTTGTGAATTTTCTTATGAATTTTCTTGTGCCCCACTCCCCCAGCTGAACAGGTTATTGGATTAAGTGCCAGATCTGATTCTCCGTAGTACCATATGCAGCTGCTGCCTTTGCTGTCCTTTTGAAATTTGTTCGCCCACTTTTTGCCACTTGGAGAAGTGTATGACAAGGAGCACGCTCTACAGTCCACACCATAATTATAAGACCAACTTGAGGCGTCAGCCTACCTATGAGTTGAGTATATTGATTTGTGGATCCATAGGTTACCTTAACTTATGATTTTTTTTAAAAAAAAAAACCTTGAAAAACATTATTTTAATTAAAAAAAGTTATGATGTAAAACTCAGCATAAGACTCTAGATCAGCAGGGCAAACAAGTTGGCTCAACAGTTCTAGCCAGGTGTTACAACTATTGTCTACACAACATGATTATTGTTCACGCGGCATTAAGCCTACCGCAAAACAATATATCTATGCCAAGTCTTGAGAATTCAATGCTGCAAACATGCCCTCCTAGCTAGCTCGTGATTTTCCATGCAGATATAATAATGCAGTAATGCTATGGATTTGGGAATAATTGGTGGGGTTTTTGGCGATGCTAGCTTGCTTCATTAGCTATGGTTTGACAAGGATTTGCACACAAAGCACAAAGCATGTTCAAATCACAAAGTAAAAGGCACATCGTTTCCTGAGGACATTTTAACTTCCCATCTGATGATCTCCCACCATATTTGAATTGAAAATGTAAACCTTTGTCGAGGAGAAAATAAAATATAGATGGGTCAACTGGTGCTATGCTGTGCCTGGGCAGGCAAAAGGCAGGCAGGCAGCCAAAAGGCACAGGTCAGCTTGTATTTTTTAAGGATTCTGAAGAAGTGTCCCAGTCAAGCCCCATTAGCTATGATGTGCCACACTACGGAGTTACTGTCTCAGTGGATGCAAGACGCAGCCATTAGAGAGTGTGATGGTGGATCAAAAGCAATCTATGGACCCTCCATTTCTCCTGTTGGGTCAAATGTTTTTGTTGTATTACTTTAATTAGAGAATGGAGTGGTGTTTTTCAGGTAGTTTGCTTTTACTAAGATGAAGTTCACCTTCTTAATCTTGTCAAAAACATTATGCAAAGAACATTGTATTTTACTGTTGTCCAAGATTCGCACCACGGATGTAACATTGCGGACGAGCAGTCCCCTTTTCTTTTCATTCCTTTCTGTTTCTTAATTTAATTTAATTGTTTTAATTCATATTTTCACGTTATGTATTGTTCAAACGAATTTAAGCCTTGTAATATCTAATCTAAGATTTAAAAATTTAAAAAGAAAACAAGTGTATTCTGCTGAACATGATCATTTAAGAATAAGTAAATCTAATAAAAAAATGTTTGGAATCCCAAAAAAAAAACAAAAATAAAGGGTGGATAATAAATCGTTTGTCATATAAATATTGTGTAAAGCAATGTTCAAACCCGTGAATTCTTGTTATTTATTTATTATTAACATGATTAAACTAATGTATTAGTAATTGTTTATTCATATAAAGAGTAAATTATTATAAACTAATATTATTTATTTAAAATAGCATCATTTCAGTTATTTTAAAAAATTATTATTATTGATTTTAACTCGACCAAGTTAGACTAGTTAGACTCAATCAATATCTAAGTTGATTTAAATTAAATTCCAACCTAGATTAGATTCTAAATAATAGATTTACTACGTCAATCTAGTTTGGCATTGCTTAATAATAGTAACAATTACAAAACCTGAAGTGTTTTTGAAAAATCTTCAACTGTTACGCATGTAGTGATCACCTTAATACTAATCTTTACCAAGTCTTGGTTCCAAATTCATTGGGGGAAAGCTACATCATCCTATCTATTGAAGATTTATATGCATTGAGGAAACCATGTTGTAAGTTATGGAGAAAAATCCTATGATACATTAGAAAATCATTTTCAACCTCTTCATTAAAGATTAATCAAACCATGCTAGAAAGAAATCAGAAAATTGGTTTAGAACTGGGCAATTCAATCACTTGACGCGTTTTCTTGCTTCAAATTCTCAAAAGGGACTTCTCACGTGAGTTCTCTATGCCCACGTACACCATATCAATGGAAGTGTATCTATCGAGACATTACCCATGTATTTTCTACTTCACTTTCTTGACCAGTTACATTACCAAAGTCAACACCCGTTATCTTTGTAGAACCCAATTTGCAAGTAAATTACTCAAATATTTCATTAACAATTTTTGTCTTCAAGTCCCATGAAATGCCATTCAATCTCATTTGGTCTAATAAGAGGAAGTCAAAATCTTGTTGTAAGGGGTTATGTTGAGTGCAATTTGGACGGGAACTTGAGGTTCAAGGAGTATTCTTTAGTGTAAAAAAACAAGCAATTTGAGTTGAAGTTTGGGTGAGGGGAGGATCTTGTATATAAAAGGCTTATTTGATTTTATTTGGATTTTTTAAAGGGAGGTAGACAGCAGCAAAATAAATTAGTAATTAAGGTAGAGAGAAGGTGCAATTATTAAAAAGAAAAAAAAAAACTAAGTCATGGGATGGTTTTATTGCTGATGTATCATTATTTATTTGCTCATAAATCAATTCTTGAACTCTTTTTTTTTTTTACATTTGAACACTTTAATTCCATATTAATGTCAAATTACTTATTTCTTTGAAACAAAATTGAGTTGAAAGACAAATAATAAAGAAAAAAAAGAAGAGAGGGGGGGTGTAACTTTGAGTTTCGTTTGAAAAGTTAATTTTATTCCCCTCATCTTTTTCGGTTAGTAGATGATCGGTTTTTTTATTTGTTATAAATTTAATTTTGATATCAAATTTTATTTTTTTAATTTTTTTGAGGAGAAAGATATTTATTAAATTCTTGAGAGTAAATTATCATTGATGATGATTCTGATTACCAAAATTGTTGTTATCGGTATTAATGAGTTTTTTTATAAGAAAAATTTGACCCAAATGTTTTTTTTGTTATTATTGTTCAAGGAGGCAAATCTAATCACGAGAATATATTCAGGTTTAAGTTGATTTTGGTTTTTTAAATTTTTTTTATGTAATAAATATATTTATCAATATGTTTAGGATATTTTCTAATTGTTTTAGGTAAAAAAAAGTTGAAAATAAGTTTTTTAACCAAAAAATCCGATCCTATTTTTTTGGTATTCGAGTTCTGCATAAAATAAAAAATGTATTGTTTGTTGTTTTCTTACAAAAAAAAGGACAAACAACAATTTATCTATACTTTTAAGAAATAAAAAAAATTAAGACAAGCTCGTATAGGCGGATTGTGTTGTTAATTTTTGAATATCCATGTATGTTGAGCCACCAACTCCCTTGCTAATGCTTTTTTTTTTAATTAAAAAATTACTATTTTATATTTAGGTTAAAAAAATTGATAAAAAGAATTAATGAATGAGTCAGATTTAATAAGGTAATTAGTAGTATCCAATCTATTATTTTTTTAATATTTTTTTTGTTCCTCATTTTTTTAAAATCAATTTATCCCTTGTTATCAATGCTCATTTAAAAAAAAAATCTCAAAACTAAAAAAAAATAAATTCCACCATTTATTATCAATAATCTATTTTTGCTATCTCATCCCATGAGCCTATCATGAATTTTTTTTTCTTTTTTAAAAAAATATTTCATACAAAAAAATTATTCTGTGCTTTATTATTGTATAATTAAATAAAAAAATAATCTTCAAGATAAGAAAATTTATTAAATATAATAGCATGCATAACTTGTATTGCGAGCTTGCTTGGTTGCCTCGAGTTCATATAATTTTTTTTTAATTACATGTTATTTTCTATCTATTTTACTTTTCAATATTGAATTAATTGAGGATTAAACTTTTTATTTTTTTTAAATTATCTCCATAAGTTTTCTATGTTAGTCTTGATTAACCCATATAGATTCAATGTGTTTTTATCTTCATATTAGATAACAATATCATTTAACTCATGGTTAATTTTTTTCAAGAGACATGTTGCCACTGTCTAGATATTTTTTTGCGCTTAAATTTTTTTTCCTCTAACTCGTAGACCAGGACTAGTTTACTCATTAATTCTATTTAAATTCATAATATTACTTATCTTATTTTCTTAGAAATATCTTATATTATTTGATATAAATGTATTTTAAAAAATAATTTTGAAAGCAGAACAACCTCATTATCAAGTGAGAAATGTAGTTTCCATGTATAAAATTGGCTTGAAAATATTATATGCGTTTCATATTGTGATTAAAAATATTTTTCAATAATTTAGATTTCGATATGTTTATATTAAGACTATTTAAAATAATCTAGAACAATATATGAATTGATCTAAATGTATTCTAGAAAATACTTTTAAACGCCGAACAACCACACTATCAATGAAATTTTAGTTGAAGTATACAAAACTAGCTTGAAAATATATAACCCACCATGAAACCAATTTTGGTTGTCAGTGACTATATATATATATAAGTTTTTGGGGTATCTTCTCATAATAGTAATAATATTTCTT